CTGGTTTTTGTGGCATGTGGTACTGTCTGTAGTAACTGAACAGGGCATGAGATGTTATCTCGCAAACTCAGCTAACAAAGGTGGTACTTTCCTGCTTTTACTCTACTGTCTTAGCACTTCTGACCTCCTCTTAGTTAGAACACATAAACCTAGGGACTGCATTCAAAAACCCAAGAACTAGATTTGCACCATAGATTTGGATCACGTTCTAGAAAACAAATAAATGTACTTTATGGCAGGAAAGGGATGTTGTGTTCTCAGGTGTGCTCAGCTAGTGTTCTGGTACTAGAGAACTTGAGTTTCCTGTCACTTAACATGGTAACAATTTTTAAAATAAATAATGACAGGAACTGAGTGAAGATTTACCGTGTATTGCAATGACGGACTTGTCAGTTAACTGGGAGCATTTCTTATGACTTCTAAAAGCTGAGGAAATAACAAATTTAGTAACTTCCTTGTACAAAGAAGACAGCTATATCTTGTTTTTTAAATTTGATAATTCTGTATAAATGCATTCCTGAACTTGTGAACAGGCTTAATGTGATGATACAATGAAAATGATCATTCAAAATTAAGAAAAGAATTTTAAGTCCTCTTTTCTGGGAGCGCTCACATGCACATGAGGTTGAATATTGTAACAACACATTTTGTTCAGCTTCCTCACCAGTGCCAGGCTAAAGCACCACATTCTTTGTGTTTCAGTAAGACTGGACCGATATAAAGTGAAATGTAAATAATATGCAGCTTACCTTAAGTTCCTTAGTGAGCAAATTTATTCTATTTTCATGATGAAATCCTTTTCTTTCACCCATGTGTGTAGACTTAAGAGGAAAATGGCCATAAAAAGGAGAACACTGGTTGTCATTTCAGTGCAACATCTACAAAGACAGACGTGTAGCACTGTGGTATACGGGGACTGAAGAATTGATACTACTTTGGTGTTTCTACCTGCAAACACCTCTAATCTTGCTGGTCTTCTAAGACTAAGGCCTCCACGTTGTGCTTCAAGACCCGGATGGGGACACTGGTATGTAGATAGGAATATAATTTTATCAAAGTAATAGAAAATTTGTTTAGCTTGAGGAACTAAATAAGGTACATGCACCCCTAACATGCTTTTCACAGTAAGGCTAGCTTTTTTTTCTCTTGTACTGTACAAGTAGCTCCACATCCTTTTTCCTTTTTATTGATGCAAGTCCATCTCTCAAAGTGGAATAAATAGTTATATTTTCATGCTTTGACACTCACTTCTGCCTTAACAGGTTCACGATGTTTTGGCTGTTTTAAGCAATCTTGATATTTTGTTGCCTGGGTAAATGTTGTACTAACTTGTTAAAATGTTCAGGAGGAAGCTATAATTATAATTGCAACTAGCTTATTTTCTAAAGATATATTTAGCTCCAGGACTATTCTTTCCCCCTAGAAAATTGGTGCGGACTGTAATTTCCTGTATTTAACCTTGAGACAAAGAATATTCTGAAGAAAACTGATCAAACCACATTTAGTCATGAAAAAAATATTCTAGCTAAAATTTTTATTGTAGTCTATTTCTAGCTCAGAATGACTTATTTTAATACCTTCAGTGTTTCTGTAGCAGTCTACCTGAGGATTGATATTTGAAATAATGAGTTGAACTTTCAGTGATCAGGTCCACACTTGCTGAAATCCTGATTCTGCTCACATTTAAAATGTTTTGGGCTTGGAGTGTTTCTGGCCAGTGATGTCAGCGGGTATAAAAAACTGTTCACACTGCAAAATGTCAATGTGACTCCATTTGGGGAGCCTTAATTCTCAGGTGTAGACCAGAACCCATGAAAGGGCCTTAATTCCCATTTCTGAAAATGAAGTCCCTTTAAGTTCTCTCATTCTTCAAATTCATGGCAAATTAGCTATTTAAATTTGAAAACTTTAGATATGTGGTTCAAGTTGCCTCTTACCTGACTTGAGAATGTGTGTTCCTATCATAGCAGGCAGGAGCCTCCTTTTGTAATAAAGCCTGTAATCATGGAATTTGGACCTGAGTCTCTTTGGCAGACCATTATTAACGATTTTTTTTTATTCTGCTTTTAACTCCTTGACTTTTGGTCATGTTTGCTCATTGTCAAAATTGGTCAGGTTGAAAGTGGATCTTGCTTAGAAATCCTTAAGAGCATTAAAATAAAATTTGGTTCAGGACACAAATTTTAGGGCTCCAACTCCCCTTTTATTTTCCCTTTTCCTCTCCATTTATCAGTCTTACAGGTAATCCACATAAGCTTAGTGGATAGGATATACGATGCATAAAACTGTAATGAGTAGTTTCTGCACTTCCCCAGAGGAGTTTGAATTTCAGGTGGGACTAGTGCTGTAAACCAAAGAGCTATATAGGAAACCTGTATGTTTCTGATAGTTGCATGCATTCAAAAATGGTCCAAAGTACAAAACAAAATGTGTTGGTGCATCATGCTTAATAGTGGAGTTTACTCTTAATTTGGTTCATGTGCCCCAGATAACTGAGAAATCAAAACTAGACTAAAACCATAAGGATTTATTAGACTAGTATGGAGCATTGCCTTGCCCTCTCATGGTTTAAGAAATAGTTATCCTGAGGAGCAGCACTCTGAAATGCACTCTGCTAATCCATTGCACTGATTTACAGATACCGGGTAGCTTGTCTCCATGTGTTAACCCAGTTTCTCTACCATTTTTGCTTGACTTAACCTAATATGTGGACCTACAGTTTTAGTAAACCTTTGGAT